TTTTCTAATTCTTTTAGGTGGTGGGTTAGGTTGTTTATTTGAAGTTTTTCTTATATCTTGAGGAAGGCCTGTATCACTGTGAACTTCTTAGAACTGCTTTGGTGCATCCCATTCATTTGTAAGTTGTGTTTTCATTGTTGTTTGTCTCATTTTTCACAGAACTAGAACAAATAATCCTAAAATTTATACAGAACCACAAAAGACCCAGAATTGAAAAAGTAATCCTGAGAGGAAAAACAGCTGGAGGCATAACTCTTCCAGACTTCAGACAATATTACAAAGCTACAATAATCAAAACAGCATGGTATTAGCACAAAAACAGACATATTGATCAATGCAACAGAATAGAGAACCGAGAAATAAACCCATACATCTATGGTCAATTAATCTACGACAAAGTAGACAAGACATACAATGAAAAAAAGACAGTCTCTTCAACAGTGGTGTTGGGAAAGCTGAACAGCTACATGTAAATCAATGAAATCAGAACAGTCCCTCACACCATATACAAAATGGTTTAAGGACGTAAATATTAAGACATGACACCATAAAACTCCTAGAAGAGAAACAGGCAAAACATTCCTGGACATAAATCGTAGAAATATTTTCTTAGACTAGTCTCCCAAGGCAAGAGAAATAAAAGCAAAAATAAACAAATGGGACCTAATCAAACTTAAAAGCTTTTGCATAACAAAAGAAATCATCAACAAAATGAAAAGACAACATACAGAGTGGGAGAAAGTATTTGCAAATGATGTGACCAACAGGGGTTAATATCCAAAATATACAAACAGCTCAAACAAATCAGTATTAAAAAAACAAACAACCCAATCAAAAAATAGGCAGAAGACCTCAATAGACATTTTTCCAAAGAAGACATACAGATGGACAACAGGCACATGAAAGGATGCTCAACATCAGTAAGTACTAGAGAAATGCAAATCAAAACTGCAATGAGGCATCACCTCACACCAGTCAGAATGGCCACCATCAAAAAGTCTACAAATAATAAATGCTGGAGAGGGTGTGGAGAAAAGGGAACCCTCATACAGTGTTGGTAGGAATATAAATTGGTGCACTCACTATGGAAAGCAGTAAGGAGGTTTCTTAAAAAACTAAAAATAGAGCTACCATATGATCCAGTAATCCCGTTCCTGGGCATATATTCCAAAAAGATGAAAACTCCAATTTGGAAAGATACATGCACCCCAATGTTTATAGTGGCACTATTTACAATAGCCAAGGCATGGAAACAACCCAAGTGCCCATCGATAGACAATTCGTTTTAAAAGATGTGGCATATATATACAATGGAATATTACTCAGCCATAAAAACAAAAGAAATATTGCCATTTGCAGCAACATGGATGGACCTAGAGAATATCATACTAAGTGAAGTAAGTCACAGGAAGACAAACATTATATGATGTCACTTATATGTGGAATCTAAAAAATTGTACAAATGCATCTATATACAAAACAGAAGCAGACTCACAAATATAGAAAACAAAGTTATGGTTACCAAAGGGGAAAGTGGGGGGGGGGCGGATAAATTAGGAATATAGGATTAACAGATACAAACTACTATACACAGAATAAACAACAAGGATTTACTGTACAGCATAAGGAACTATATTCAATATCTTGTAATAACCTATAATGGAATATAATCTAAAAATATACATATTCTTAAGACAAAACCCCCAAAACTGTATACTGTCTAGCCCTTGCCTATCTCCGTGACCCAAATTCTTAGCACATGCTCCTTTACTAACTCTACCCTGGCCTTCTTAGAGTTCCTCCAATAAAGTTCCTTACCAACCCTAGGGCCTTTGCCGTTCACTGTGATTGACATATTCCTCCCCCAGGTATTCATATAACTTGATCCCAGGCTTCATGTCTCTATTCAAGAAAACTTTCCCTGACCATCTTATCTGAATTGGCCCTATCAATTCTCATCATTTTCTATTCTCTTACGCTGTTTGCCTCTCCTGAACAACATGGTTCATTGCATGATACAATTTATCTACTTGTTTACTTATTTTATGTTTCTCCTCAACTACATAAAGTACATGAGAATAAGCAAGTTATCAATCTTGTTCCTGATTGTATTAATAGTGCCCAGTACAATGCCTGGCTAGGAGTAGGCACTCCAAATGTTTGAAGAATTTATGAATATATATATTCATTCACATACACACACAAATGCAAAAGAGTTGGAAAGCAGCTGCATCCAACATGTAAGTAAAATGGTTCCACTGGGAACAAAAAAGAACACTTTCCTCACTGAAATGGGAGGGAATTATAAGAAGAAAAACAAGGAGCCTGGGAAATGAGATGAAGATGAAGTTCCTTTTGTAGCTCAAACTGAGATCTCTATCTCCTCCCAGGCCTTGGTCCTTCATAGGGAGTTTCCAAACACCACCCCAGATGTTCCCCCTTCTCCTCCTCTGTGACCTGTGAGGTTGTTCTTGCACTGATGGTTCCCTCCTGCCTTTGCCTTCCTGGAATCCGACTTCTTGTACCCCACCCACCCCTCAACTACCCAGGGCTCTTCTCCTTGCTCCAATAATGTCATCATATATGGCTTAGAAATGGAGTGTCTGCTTGCAAGAAAAGAAATGCCAAATTGTGTAAGGGTTTTGTTGTGTTTTTTTTTTTTTAATTATAAGGGCAAAACATTTGGTTAAATTTGCAATAAAGTAAAGGTAAAAATAATATTGGTGAAGACTTCAGAGAAGAGAAGGATGGTGGGAATGAAGAACATGAGATCATATAAGTAGGAAAATGATCTTGTTTTAGACTCATTCTGGTTCTATCTCTTTAGAGCAAACAACACAGTGGTTAAGAACACAGATTCTGGAGCCAGACTTCCTAGGCTCAGTTGTTGCCACTGCATCCCCACCAGCTGTGTGACCTTGGGAGGGCACTTAAACTGTATGTGCCTCAGTAATCTCATCTATAAAAAGGGTTAAAAATAGTACCTACCTCATGGGGATCCTGTAAAAGTTAAATAAATTCATGTATTTGCTCTGCTTAGAACAGTGCCTGGTTTATAGTAAGCACAATGTTAACTATTACTGTTATTGTTACTGTTGTTATTTTGCATAAGTGGAAGCAAGTTTTGTGAGACAGTCCTAGGATTTAACTTAGTGTAGGATTTAACTCTGTAAAGTGCAAAGTTCACAGATCGTAACTTTCAACTTCAAATATGTTGGAAGTAAAGGAACGTATTCACTTAGTATGAATTTCTGTTCATTCAATCCACTGCTACATAAAGTGGAAAGGCTCTTTTGAAAGCCAGAGTATGTTAGGATCCTGTTTCTAGCTGTACTCCCCATACATGGGTCAGAATATAACAAAGGGCAGCGATTCTTTAGTATGCATAAAAATCACCTGGGGATCTTGTGTAAATGTAGATTCTGTTCTGCAGCTCTGGGGTAGGACTCGATGAGCTGCATTTCTAACAAGCCCAGGGGACTTCCCTGCTGGTGCAGTGGTTAAGAATCCACCTGCTGAATAAAGACGCAGACTTAGAGAACAGACTTGAGGACACGGGGCCAGGGAGGGGGTAGGGGGCTGGAGGCTGGGATGAAGTGGGAGAGTAGCACTGACATATACACACTACCAAATGTAAAATGGATGGCTAGTGGAAAGCTGCTGCACAGCACAGGGAGATCAGCTCCATGCTTTGTGACGACCTAGAGGGATGGGACAGGGAGGATGGGAGGGAGGTTCAAGAGGGAGGGGATATGTATACTTATAGCTGATTCACTTTGCTATACAACAGAAACTAATGCAACATTGTAAGGCAATCATAGTCCAATAAAGATATGAAAAAAAAGAATCCGCCTGCCAGTGCAGGGGCACGGGTTCGATCTCTGGTCCAGGAAGATCCCACATGCTGCGGAGCAACTAAGCCCGTGTGCCACAACTACTGAGCCTGTGCTCTAGAGCCCGCAAGCCACAACTACCGAACCCGCATGCCACAACTACTGAAGCCCACGTGCCTAGAGCCCATGCTACACAACAAGAGAAGCCACTGCAAGGAGAAGCCCAAGCACCACAACGAAGAGTAGCCCCCTCTTGACTCAACTAGAGAAAGCCCGTGTGCAGCAACGAAGACCCAATGCAGCCAAAAATTAATTAATTAATTTTTTTTTTTTTTTAAATGTTACTCTAACAAGCCCCGGAAGAAGCTGATGATAGATATTTGTGTAATACTTAACAATAAAAAAATTAAAACCCCACATAAAGCAAATCATGGCTTCTAACCACTAAGAGAACAATCTACATTCTTCCCCAAAACCAACAATGCTGCCTGTCACCTGGGCCCTGCCTGTCTCCCTGACTCACTTCTTGGTACCCTCTCCTTCACTAACTCTGCTCTGGCCTTTCTATGGTTCCTAATACAAAAGAACCACACTTTCGGGACTTCCCTGGTGGCACAGTGGCTAAGAATCCGCCTGCCAATGCAGGGGACACGGGTTCGATCCCTGGTCCAGGAAGATCCCGCATGCTGCGGAGCGACTAAGCCCGCAAGCCACAACTACTGAGCCCATGTGCCACAACTACTGAAGCCCTGCTCCACAACAAGAGAAGCCACCGCAATGAGAAGCCCCTGCACCTCAAGAGTAACCCTCCCTGGCTGCAGGCAGCCAGAGAAAGCCCACGTGCAGCAATGAAGACCCAACGCGGCCAAAAGGTAAGTAAATAGAAAATAAATAAATTTATTTTAAAGAAAAGAGGGCTTCCCTGGTGGTGCAGTGGTTGGGAGTCCGCCTGCCAATGCAGGGGACATGGGTGCATGCCCCGGTCCAGGAGGATCCCACATGCCGCGGAGCGGCTGGGCCCGTGAGCCACGGCCGCAGAGCCTGTGCTCTGCAACAGGAGAGGCCACGGCAGTGAAAGGCCCGCGTACCGCAAAAAAAAAAAAAAAGAACCACGCTTTGAGTAGCAAGGACACAGATCATCTATAGAAATGCTGAAGCTAAACACAGTATGAAATCTGGTTTCTTTGACAGTGGTTATGAAATAAACACCCCATAATGCAAATCCAGCTCCTTGGTCATTAAAGAAGAGAGGCCATTACAGGAAGGGCCAGAGGAAGGTTGAAGCTCACTGAGGGATGGGACGATCGAGGTGCTCAATGAACCCATTTCTAAGCCAACAAATACCAAAACATTCCTTTGAGAACACGGAGGAGAAATTCACCTGGTTTCTTCAAAGACAGCCCTGTAATTCCTAGCGCGGAAAGCTGATGCTCCAGAGAGGAGATTCTAAACTATTTCAGGCAGATGAACTTACCCAGTGAGACCAAGTTGCTATAGTTCTCCAACATCACATCCACGTACAAGTCCCTCTGAGCAGGGTCCAGGAATTCCCACTCCTCCTGAGAGAAGTCGATGGCCACATCCCTGAATGTCACCAAGCCCTAAAACCAAAAACCCAAACATTACTTGTGAAATTAAAGAAATTTAGAAACTATTTCCAAGAGAAAAAAAGAGGAGTATGAAGCATAAACTATAAGAAGAGGAAAATATAACAATCCAGTCGGCTGGAAGCCTGTGAGACGTATGGGTAGGAAAAAGTAAAGAAATTAGTATGAGTAGAGCAGAGTGTCTACATGTTCTAGAAGAAACCTATTACAGCAGAACTTCCTGGATACTGTGAGGTAACTCAGCTATCCAGACCTGTCTGATAATCCATAAAATAATGTTTCTCTTCTATTAAATAAAAATAGTGTTGGGGGAAGGGGATGGGGGCGTTTACGGGTGTGTATACATACATACAACCTGCTAAGTGCCTGCTTCATAAATTCTTATTTATTTATTTATTTATTTATTTATGGCTGCATTGGGTCTTCGTTGCTGCGCGGGCTTTCTCTAGTTGCAGCGAGCGGGGGCTACTCTTCGTTGTGGTGCACGGGCTCTAGGCGCGCGGGCTTCAGCAGTTGTGGCTCGTGGACTCTACAGTGCAGGCTCAGTAGTTGTGGTGCACGGGCTTAGGTGCTCTGCGGCATGTGGGATCTTCCTGGACCAGGGCTCGAACCCATGTCCCCTGCATTGGCAGGCGGATTCTTAACCAGTGCGTCACCAGGGAAGTCTCATAAATTCTTTATAAATGTGAACTGCTACACCATCTTTTCCCTTTAAGAAATACCAAAAAAACATGAAAACTTTTTTCCAAATGTCCTACAAAATCTCTTATTTTAGAAAAATGATTGCAATTAAGGATTACCATTAAGCCTCAAGTGAACCATTCTGTGAGATTATATCATCAGCATTTTTCTTATTATGATGAATCGAATATGTAAAATGTTTTTATTACCTGCAATTCAGTTCATCATGTGGATATATGAGATTAATAACTATTATACATTTAGGTTGAACAAAACTTCCAAGATTTTCTTAATTCTAGGAGTCTATTATCAGCCAGTACTTAAGAATCTGGATCATCTTTTTACATGGTAACATCAACCACCTGTTGCTTAACACATTCCTTGTTCCTGAGTTGGAGGATATTGATAGAGTATATCAGACACAACACAGATGTCACATCCTGGTCAATAACTAAACAGACTTTGACACTGGTGTTTACTGATAAGGGAGTCCCTGGAAAGAACCACTCACTCCCCACTCTAATCCGAAAAGCTTGCAAAGCATGTGATCTCATACAAACTGAGGCTATGACGAAGAAATCCCAAATTCCATCTTGTCTTTCTGGAAAACTCAGGTCTGTGAAGAAGTCCCACGTTTTCCTGTGTGGCCCAAAGGGACCCTCATCACTAACTCATCACACCGCAGACCTGTCTTGGGAATGAAATTCTGATAAGGGAAATGGGGCAGCCCTGGCCAAACAAAGATGGAAGTGATAACAAAAGGCAAGACCCAAGACAGGCTGCCATGGATACATCCCAGTTAAACACCAAAGCTCTTCCAGATAATACACAGACTACCGAAACTGTTCTCGTGGGTGGCCATCCAGCTGGCTAAGGGCAGAGTACCCTGACCAACTTCTTTGCTAGCTGTATCTTCGCCTGAAAAAGGAAAACAATTGGGGGAACTTCAGCCATTTTTTTCTAGATAGGACATGAACTAATCAGCATTTTAGCTTGAAAAAGAGAAACTGTTGCTTTTCAAATGTCTGCAGTCTTTCATTCTCTCCTCTTTCCTTCTATGAATCCTCTTTGGGCCTTTGAAAGATGAACTCAATCTACTGTTGGTTTTCCTTGTATACAAATAAAAGCGAGCTGATTGTTCTCTATATTTCTTTACATTATTCTTTGACAGACACTCAAATATTTCCCTTAAAGGACTCCATTCCTTCACTGCTCTTGATGGAAGACTGAACCGCAGGAGATGTTGAGTAATGTGCTCAATGAATATGATGGCACTGATTGGAAAAGGCACAGAGGGAGGACGCTGGGCTCTTTGGCATCATCCTTTACTGGAACAGAAGGAACTGAGAAGCAGGTTCAGGGATGGGGTTCTGTTAAGTAGAAAGCTTTAGGGTTAATTAGGAAAAGATTCACATGACCTAAAAATCACAACACTTCAAGGAGAGAGAAATATCAACTTACGTCAGTCATGGTTCTAGAATTGCAGGAACTAATTAATGCTCCATAGCGTTCCTCTACTGGTGAAGCACAGAGTCCAGAAAAGCCAGAGCTGCAGAAGGAAAAAGAAGCTTTAGATCAGGTGTGCTTAAGTGATCCTGTCCTGCCTTAAGCAACTGAATAAAAATACATCAAAATATTAGAGATGATTAACTCTACAGGATATAATTTTAACTTCCTTCTCTATACATTCCCTGGATTGCTGAATTTTTTGCAACACACCTGCATTAACTCCATAATCAGAAAAATAAAGATATTTCCAAATGTAAAAAACTGAGTGACAGGGAATTCAGTCATTAGGAAAACTGAACAAACAGGCCCAACACTGAAAATCGGTGGGTCTGAAACAAATGACACCTACCAGCTCTTCAACATCTTGTAGCTGTAGCTCATCACTACAGTGAGACACTTTCACTGTCAAGATTCTCCTGTGAATGAACACAAATTATGTAAGTCCCCTTCAAACTGGTAGCAAGGAAATATATGCATATAAACATAACAATATTTGGTACAGAGTAGATACTTAAAAAGTGTGGCTACACCTCTCTAATTCTTCACTGAATGGTCAGTTTAAAACATTTGGATACAATCCTTGAAAAATGTCTTTCAAAACTCTCTCTTATTGGATGGGATCCATATATAACTCATAATATTCTTAAGTACTTTTGTTCATAACTATAACTATTGCTTGATATTTTATCATTTACATTTTCCCTTCTTTTGATTCTTTATAAACATAATGTTTATTAGGTGCATATTATTCCATCAAATGGTGTACTGCATTTACTTAACTGTTTCCATGTCACTGGATTCTAAATTTGTAAAAGCTCCTTCCAAGCTATTATAACTTTATTCCAGACAAATGGAACTAGATCTTTTTGGGGTCACGCATACTCGGTAATCTCATGAAATTAGGGACACTCTGCCCACTTAGAAAATTAATTTACAAATATTTACAAAAATTCTGTCTCTATTTCAAGGGATCTGTGATCACCTGGATGCTTATAAATGGAATAAGAAGACCTCAGGTTAAGATTTTCTGTTCTAGACCATTTGAGCCCCTGGTAACTTTTTCAAACTTGCAAGCACCCACCACAATCATTTTATTTCTCTTCATATTTTGATCTATAAAAAGTTGATGTGGAATGATCCAGAATCACCACATAACAGCAAATCTTAATATTTACTAAGCCTGTATCATGGGGCAGGCACTGTTCTATGGAGCTTTACACATATGAACTCAACTTACATCGTTACAACTCCATTAGGTAGGTATTACTTTGTTCCAATTTTGTAGACATGGCACAGAGAGCCTGAGTCGTTTATTTACACTCACACAGCAAGTAACAGGTAGAGCTGGATCCAGATGCTCTAGATCCAGAGCCTTACTCTTAACCACAGCACAGTACTACCTCTCAGGACCCGCACAGAATTGGACCTGAAATAACTCATGTTTGGCAATGCTACAGATTTCTACCTAAAAATTATCTGAAAGTCTCTGCCCTTGTGGGTACAAACTGCAAAGCACTACTGTAATAGGGAAGAACCTTTATGTTCTATTACAAGTTAATCACTAAAGATATGTTGCCTATAAGCTTAAATTATACATAATGGCCCATCTCTGGGAACCCTGCCTAAACCCCCCAGGTAATGAGCATTAAGCTAAAATACCTTTGTTTAGCTCACAGGAAACATCCTGACCAGATCTACCTACGAATGCCTACAGGGAGGAAAAAATTAACACATCCCCTCCAGAGGCTGACAGGAACCAGGAAATGTTTGACTTCACTCCCTCCCCTTTCAGTATAAAAGAAGCCTGAATTCTAATTCAGGCCAGATGCTTTTTTGGGACATGAGCCCACTGTCTTCTCAGTCTGCTGGCTTTCTGAATAAAGTCGCTATTCCTTGCCCCAACAACTCGTCTCTCGATTTATCGGCCTGTCCTGGGGCATGTAGTTTGAGCTTGGACTCGGCAACACCATGCTCAAACCTCAGTCACATTCCCACCCCTGAAAGCCTCACAGCATTGTCATTTACTACCTGAAATAACCAATCCCCTCCTACCTTGCCTTGCTTTGAAAACGATGACTGTGGAACAGATAAAAAATAATTTGTATTCCATACCACCTAAATGCTAATCTCCTCAAGTAATCATAGTCTAAAATAAAGCCCTAACATCCCACCTCCAGCCCACCTTCTGGAGGTGGTGTGCTTCTGTACCATCAGAATGCTTAGGGGCTTCCCTGGCGGGCCAGTGTTTAGACTCCGCCCTTCCACTGCACGGGGGAGGGGCGGGTTCCATCCCTGGTCGGCCAAACTAGGATCCTGCGTGCCACTCGGTAGGGCCAAAAAAAAAAAAAAAAAATTGCTTAGGAAGGGAAAATGTACTGGAGGATTTGAACAATTTGCCATATGAACGGATGGCTACTGACAGGAAAAGGACAATAGGGGGCCTCTGGGAAGAGGGAGGCACCAGCATGATGGGTCATTCACCAGAAGGAACACCCAAGATAGACACTACTAGTCAAGTGTCTTGAAAAATAGTCAAGATATTTCTGGTCAAGGAAAGCAAATTGCGTCATGATCTAAAAACAAAAGTAACTATGAATAAAAAAGAAACACAAATTCACCTGAACCTTGATTTCTAAATATGCAACAATTCTGTCCTTCTCAGGGTCCTCCTCAGAAACCCAGCAGCAACTAGGGTTGGGGGTGGGTGGGCGTTAGGGGCAGCAGGAGGGGGTGGGGAGAAATCACGAGACACCAGTATTTCTTGGAACACAGACAAACCTAACTAAAACCAGAACAAAACAAAACACTCCCCAGGGCCACATCTGCCTTCATCCACACATACACAAAGGGAATTCAAAGGGAAACTGGAGTTGAGATGACAGCAGTTCTTGGGGACAGAGGTCTGTTTGTAGTGGAGCTGAAACAGGTAGCTGGTCCCCCAAGGAGGTGGTTTTTCTAGGAATCCTACCTGTGGGACCTCCCCAATCATGTCTTTCCAGGAGCCTGTCACGAGGACACGTCCAGATGTCAAATTTTCATCCCAAGACTAGATCTGTACTTTCTTACTGGAAACGTACATTCTAGGGCTTAGTCCTGGAATTCTTTTCTTGCGGTCACTTAACTCTGGCAGCCCCTAAGAGAGTCTAGAAGGAACCTAGAGCATCCCGCCCAAGCAAACCACACCTACAAACAAGGTCACGCACTTCATGACCCCGTCACACATTCCCAATAGCACACACCGTTAAGGAGACACACCCCGGCCGTGTCACGCCGTCTGTCACACACCATCCTTCTCAGCCTCTCGTTCACACACAGGCTTGAGGCTCCGGACACGACTCCCCCTGTCCGCTGCCCGGGCCTGCTCACCTCGAGCGCCTCCCAGTGTCACCTCCACACGCACTGCTGGTTCCGACAAGGCTCTGGCGAAGTCCGCTGAGCCCTCCCACCCTCACCCGGCGCTGATCACTTCCTCGGACGCGACCAACTCACCGCGCAGAGTCCAAAAATCTCGAAGACACCGGAAAGGGACCCAGAAACGGAGGTTAGTTTGGGCCCAGAGGCTCATGGGAAATAAGAGCCCGAACATCCTCTGAGGCTCGGAGCCCGACGCTTCCAGGCGCTCTCCGCAGGCAATCTCGCCCCGCCCCGAGAGGTCCTGTGCACTGAGACTTCTGGGAAATGTAGTCCGCGGCAGACGAATCCCCAGAAGCTGGGAACCTGGACCTTCAGAATGCTTCCAGCATGCAACTCGACTCCGCCTATCAGAGACGCCTTTCCCGAAGCCCACCCGAATCTCTGGTCTTAGGTGGGAGGAGTAGTTCGAGTCTTGGTCGAGCCTAGTGGCTCAGTAGTCTTTAGCATGGCTCTGGGCGAATTAAGAGGTTCCCAGCGAAGGCTGAGGAACGCATTCTGGAGTCCAGAGCGGGGGCGGGGGGGGGGGGGGGGGGGGGGGGCGCATGACCAGGGACTTAGGCCTCAGTGAGCGGGGGCATCCTGGGTCAAGTCCGTGAGAATGACCCTGGGCGGGGTCACGAGCTTACTTGGGCACGAGAGACTGGAGCAGGGTCTGGCAGTTGAAAAGATGAATGTGTCTTGCTTTGGGTGCGCTTGTGGGTCCAATTCGGTGTCTGGAACCCTGTGTAGACTGGTTTATTTTCATGGGATAGTCTCTGCAAATGTGAATCTTTGTTTCCTTAGGTGTAAGGCGGTTTGTATCAGAGGTTATATGCTACTGTTGGAAAGCAACAATTAGTGGTCGTGAATGGATATTGTGACCATGGAGACTTGTGAGAAGGTCTTGGGAGGTCTGTGTCTTTATGTATTTCTGTTAATGTCAGTAACCGAAGATGACAATATTTGTAAGATGTTTTTTCTGATAGGCTTTTCTTTTGTGTGCATACCATGGTAATTGTGAAAGTGGAACACTGTCCAGCTGGGATTGAAAAACAGTACAGTGTTATCTAGCTTGGCATGTTAGTTTGATTATCTGACTACCAACCACTATATGTGCCTGGAAATTGTGACTGTGTGTTTTGATAGTGAGTGACAATAAACCAGTTTCGTTACTTATAAAATAGAATAGTGTTATTACATCTTCTTGGAGAATCAAATTTAATATGCAGAAAAAGACTTGCAATTTATCTGCCAAAAGATTTGGACATTTTATGATGAATCAAAGATGTTTTGGGAAAGACTGCAAATCAGCATAACTTTGAAAAAGAAAGAAGAAATCAAAGTAACAGCCAGTCTTGGGGTGGCTGAGGTAGGCTTCCAATCTTCCTGATGTTGAGAGAACTTGAGCAAATAACTTTGAAAACCCTGGATTAAAGAAATAACTTCCCACGGGTAGAGGCGGATAGATTAGAGCAGAGCCCAGAATTAGGTAATTAGAGGTCCTAGCTTATAGGTCAGACAAGGCAAGGAACCTGTTTGAGACTACATAATTATAGTCAATCAGAAAACTACTTGTTTTATTTTTAAGAGTGATCATTGCATTTTAAAATATTCTAAATATACAAAACCAGGTTTCCATTTCCTAGGAATAGTGCACAGCAGTGAAAATGACTGAATTTAACAAATATGATAAACAGTTATAGATATATACATACAGTATAATTCCATTCATAAAACTTTAAAAAGAGGCGAGGGCTTCCCTGGTGGCGCAGTGCTTGAGAGTCCGCCTGCCGATGCAGGAGACGCGGGTTCGTGCCCCGTTTCGGGAAGATCCCACATGCCGCGGAGCGGCTGGGCCCGTGAGCCATGGCCACTGAGCCTGCGCGTCCGGAGCCTGTGCTCCGCAAATGGGAGAGGCCACAACAGTGAGAGGCCCGCATAACGCAAGAAAAAAAAAAAAAAAAA